GATTTTGAGTTCTGCTTCGACTTAGTGATTTATTTAAGTTGCTTTGTCACTTAGAGAGAGGATTAGATTGGAATTATAACTATATTTTGGGTTTCAGATTAATTTGGGTTCCAAACTATAAGGGTTTCGGCATCAGAGTACAAGTTCTTCGGTTTTGAGGACCGCTAGACTGCCAAGAGTGCAGCTAGTCAAGCCTAAGTGCTTGATAGACTTAGTATTTGGATTTTGGAGTTCATTGGGTTTTGGAATACTCTAAGTTGGTTTGGAGTGCAATTTGGTGTTGATTCTAAGTCCTAATTATACCTAAACATTGCTATAAACTACTCTCATGAGTATTGCATCTTTGAAAGCAAGATAGAGTTAAATAACTGTCTTTATTGACTGTTTCTGTGATTTTACTTAAGACTGCAAGAGTGCTTCTATCGTACTCAAAACAACCGACCTCAACTGTATTTGGTGATTGTGTATTGAGTGGTTAGGTGTTGGTGTTTGAGAGTTCATTCCTCATTCACTTCTCTTAGTCACTTAGCTGTTACCAAGCACATCAATGATAAGATGAGGACCGACTGGGTTGCTGAGCTAAGCATTCCCATGGTCCTAAGTGCTGGTCTAAGTGCCCTGACTAAGCAAGATAGGGGTTATCTCCAAGGAAAAAGAAAAGAAAATAGGAAAAATTGTAACAACTAGGTCTAGCAGTGGGGCCTAAAAAGTCTGAGGTGTCGAAGTAGGTGGTGACAGGACAGCTTCTGATTTCCTTGTCATATCAGTTACCTCCTGCTGCTTGCACCACTGTCACTCACTTGTGATAGACATGGACATTTCTTCAGTATCTGTTGTTGAAAAGTTGCCCAACCACTCAGCTGCCAAGGAACTCTCAGAGAATACAAGTGGGGATGTAGGTATTCTCAGGTACCTGTAGTCCATAGTGTCCAAGGATGGACTCATCATCTCTGAAGGTGGTGTCAGCACTGAGGGTTCATCAGGAAGAGGGATATTGGAGAGTTGAGAGGCATGAGGTGGGTTCTGGGATATTATCTCCTGCTGGAGGAGAGTTTTGATGGCTTCTTCTTGTTCAAGCCTGGTCAGTGGTGAGGACTTCAGCATGAGCCCAGCACTCTGAGGCCCATGAGTCAGAGCTGGTTGTGCTTGGCTCTCTGAATACTGAGATTGAAAGAGATTGATGGGATCTGTTGGCTCATACTGATGTGAGTACTGATGTAAGCTCCTCCTGGAGCCTGTATCAGTTGGAGGCATTGGCCCTTTTGAGCTGCATCCTTTCTTCATTTCTTTATGACTCTGCAAGCTGCTCACTACACTCAGTGGCCTCTCACCTTCTTCATCTGGCCTCAAAAAGATGCTTCTCCAGTCTGCTAAGGACTGATGGAGAGAGGTCTCATCATCTTTGTTCTTTCTGTCAGAGGGCCTTGTCATAGTTAAAAGGAATGTTGAGGTCCTATGCTGGGAATAACTGGTGGATGATTTCATTTTAATTTTCTCAGGTTTGTCATTCTTCACAGAGCTACTCTGAGAAGGCCTGCCCCATCTCTATGCTGGTTTCTGAGGAGTGGTGAAGGGCAGGGCTTAAAGACTGGCTGCTAGTTGGGATATGTCGGGGTTCTTCAGCCACTCTAGTGGCATTGAGAGAGTCTTGGGCACAGTCAGCAACCCCAGGGGCTTGAGAGATGGTGGAAGGGTCAGAGGAGAGAGACTGCTGAAAGAAGTCACCTGAGAGATCCTCATCCTCATAGTTGGAGATGGAGGCTCATACCTAAGAGTTTCAGAATCCTGTGATGTGAGGGTTGCTGTTTCTTCATCGAAGAGGGTATTCACATCTTTCTTCTTTCTGAACATCCCTTTGAAGTGGGTGGCTAGGCCTGGCTTCTGGTAAGAGGCTTGTCATGGGCTGGTGGGACATTTGTTGAGATTTGGAGATGTCATAAAGAGGGAGGTCAGAGGTTATGTTGCAAAGGATTTGTCAGATATGTTAGAACTTGTTATAATGTCTGATTGCCCAAGCAGTGATTGATTGGCATCTCCAGCACAGCTGAATGATCACCAATAATCCTAACAATGTTCTGATGATAGAAGCAAGGAGTTCAAAGAACTCTCAGTCAAAGTTCAGGTCTGATGTGTTGACAAAGGGTATTTGGTTTCCTCCACACTATAGTGCATGAGGAAAAGAAAGATCAGCTTCAAGCTAATTGTTAGATCCAAGCATCACATGAGCTAATTACATGTGATAAATGATCATTACCTTGCACTTCAGATAAGATGATTAAGTTCACAGATATATAATCAAACTGGTGTGTCACAAGGCCAAGAAAATCAGCTTGAGTATAGAATGGTGTGAAGATAAACTTTAGCTCAAAGCTGGAGATTACCAGCAAGAGTGAGCAGTCTTAAATACTATACTAGATCTGCTAATAATACTACTACTAATTGTGTGTTTCTGAGTCTATTGTGCCTATTATCTTAAGGTGTTGTTACTATATATAAAAAGGTGATTGTGCATTGTCAGGCAATGCTGTTGCATTGAAAGACAATGACAGACTCAGCTAGTTGTGATGACTAAGCTTTGTCCCACAGTCTTAAGCACTCATTCTAACACTCTGACTAAGCATAAATAGAGGTTAAATCAGGAAAGAAAATAGAAAAATCATAACAGGTTCCTTTGATCTCTTCATAAGAGAGTGCAACTGAAGCATCTCCAAATGTGATACTTTCTATAGAGAATCAGGACAAGGAGCTGCTAGCAAGGTCACTTATAATTGAGAGCATACTGCTTGTCAGTTAGCAAAAACCAGAATGAATAGATAAATACTGACCTGTCTAAAAATGTTATATTCTCTGCATGGCACAATCTAAGACAGCCAATTGTGTTAATAGCATCTCCAGGATAGATATGAATGATTACCTGATAGCTGAGAAAAAGAAATATTAAAAGAAGGATAGCAAAGGAATGATAAATACAGCTGCTACCTTTTTCTATGTTCTATTTATGCATCAAAACTAGTTTGGCTCTCTGGGAAGTGCTAGTAAACTGAATATATATCAACATTAGTTGTATCTCAAGGATGAAAAACTATCTTATTCTCATCCTGATCCCCATGACATAGAACAGAGGCATTGGAAGTAATATGCTCTTCTGTAGACCCAAAGCAAGTGGAGAAGAAGAATATAGTATGCTGCATCGAATAAGATCTCTTTCAGCTATAGCAGCTCTCTATTGAGCATCTGTGAAAATGAGATCTTACTTCACAGGTTTAAATCATACACTGAAAAGGGTGCTTAGAAGTGCATGC